CTGAAGGTTCCATACACCTGAGCCAACCGCGCCACCCTCAGCCCCCGCCGGCTACGCTCCATCCCTCTCCCTGGCATCCTAGCGCTGGGAAAGAACAGATTGTCAAGCCTGTATTCTATGTCTTGTTCTGATAGGAGCATTTGTATTTGTATTTTAAAAGCCCCCAAATGAAAAGTAATTGAGGTGAAGAGTTTCTCTTATGTACAAACAAGATTGGCAAAGCACTGCTAATGGTTCAAGCTGCGGATGATGGGTACAGAAGGTTCGTTAAATTGTTCTCTCCACTTTAAAAACGAACAAGAAAGCCTAGAGCCACATCAGTGTCTTTTAACAGCTGACCGCAGAATTTCTCTTTGGAAGATATTTATCTTTGTTAGGAAATACCTTGATACATTTCTTGGGTGGAGGATGGGCTCCAGGTCACAAAAGATTCGTCTGACGCTCACCAGCTCTGTCTGAGAGAGGTGAGGGAAGAGTCCGGTGTGCTCCAGACAGGAAGGGAGGGGGAATTGCTGGAGAGAGAGCCTGCGTGACCTGGGGAGGGGGGTGAAAGGCTGAGAAGCCCCCAATTAAAAATAAGTGAAGAGCATCCAGGATACTGGATGTTGCTTTGAAAGCTGCTGCCCTTCTTTAACACCATCCCTCCTGTCTCCTCGGCCCCATCTACAATGAAGCCATGAACACTTGCTAAGAGGCAAGGAGGACTGGAGGAATGGAACTTCTGGAAAAGGGCTGAGTTCCATTTCTGGGTCATTGTGTTGTGGGACCAGCCAGAATTCTTGGATCAAGATCTGACATCACAGGAGACCCTGGGGATAAAAGTCCCATTCCCATGACAACTCACAGCCATTTAGGGAAAGCTTTTGGGTATCCACAGGGCATAGGGTTGTTTTCATTTAATAACAGTTTTATTGAGACTTAATTTACATACTCTACCATTTACTGATTTGTTACTGTACAACTCAACACCTTCTAGTATATTCACAGAGTTGTGCAACCATCACCACAATCAATTTTAGAACATTTCCATTGCTTCAAAAAGAAACCCTGTCCTGCTAACCAACCCCTCAAACCCCTGTCGGCTCCTTCCCAAGCCCTAGGCTTTGCCTATTCTGAACATTTCGGCCAGTGTTGCTTAGTGGTTGAGTGTCAACCTGTGATCCAGGAGGTCATGGTACGATTTCTAGTCAGTGCCCATACCCAGGTTGTGGGCTTGATCCCCAGTGTGGGGCTTGCAGGAGGCAGCAGAACAATGATTCTCTCTCATCATTGATGCTTCTCTCCCTCCTCTCTTCCTCTCTGAAATCAATACAAATATATTTAAATTGGATCAGACAATATGTGGTCTTTTGTGACTGGATTCTTTCACTTAGCATAATATTTTCGAGGTTCATCCACGTTGTAGCATGTATCAGTACTTCATTTCTTTTTATTGCCAAATAATATTTCACAGCATGGATATACCACCTTTTGTTTATCCATATATCAGTTTATGGATGTGTTATTGTTTCCACTTTAGGCTACTATAAATAATGCTGCTATGAACACTCATGGACAAGTCTTTGTGTGGACATAGGTCTTCATTTCTCTTGATGCCCCATTTGGAGGCATCAAGGGAGAGTGAAATGACTGGGTGTCAGATGGTGACTTTATGTGTAATGTTTTGAGGGACTGCCAGATTGCAAATCCACTTCCGAAGTAGCTACCCCATTTTACATTCCCACCAGTAGTGCACAAGGGTTGCAATTTCTCCACACCCCGGACAACACTTATTATCTGTGGTTTGTATTATAGCCATCCTGGTGGGTGTGACATAGCTCACTGTGATTTTTATTTCCCTTAGGATCAATGTTGAGCTTCTTTTTATGTGCTTATTGGCCACTTATATATCTTCTTTTGATAAATGTCTATTCAGGTCCTTTGCCCATTTTTAATTGAGAAGGGGTGAGAATATAGATTGTTCAGTAACAACACTGACTCAAGCAACACTGATTGACTATATTGTAAAAAGTTAAAAGGCAAACTGAGGAAAATACTGACAACAAAAATATATAAAGGGTTACTATGTTCATAAGTTTTATAAGTCAATAAAAGATACATTAAGTCCCTCAAAGAAATAAAAGAGATACATCAAGTCCCAGAAGAGAAAAACACCGATAATCAATTGTTTAACTCTTGCTGGCAATCAAAGAGTCAAATCAGAACACTGTTGCCACTAACAAATTAGCGAACATTTATTTAAAACCCTAATATCCAGTGCTGGTTGGAAGAGCTCCTTTTAATAATAGCAAATTACTCTGGCAGCCTCCTCTCATTTGCATCCCTTCCCCCTTGTAAATTGGGTTCAAGCATCCCCTTTAGCTGATGCAGAAACTGAGATACAGAAACTCCCCCAAAGTATTGTCCCGCCGCAGTTGTGTAAACCTGCTGGAGGCAGTTTGGAAACATGTCAGTAGCTAATCAAACGTTCGTTCCTGTCGCCCAGGAATTGGACTTCCAGGAACCCATGCGAAGGAACCAGCCAGAGGAGCCATGCTGCTCCCTGCAGCGCGTGGGAAAGGACAGCGCATCCTTTCGGATGTGGGGCCCAGGTTGCGTCACAATGTGCGTTTGTCGAGGGGAATGTCGACCGAAGTTAGCTCCTAATATAACCCGAAGTGATATAGCGGATCGTAATAGACGTGATTTCTGTGCGTGGTGGGGTTGCGGTTTTGCTTTCTTCATTGTCCTTTTCTGTTTGTTTTGTTTTGAACAATCCGCGCTCATTACTTTTACGATCAGAAACAAATGCTGTGTGTGGCCTTTCAGTCTGCGGTGTGTGCGTTTGATGCTGAGTTTCCAGGAGTCCCGTCGGCTCGGCCCCGCCCCCACCCCGACCGCAGCACGAGTTCGAGCCCCCGCCGG